CAGAATGTACCCATAAGATAAAATACAGTAAATAAGAAAACCCATTTTTTGTGAATCTCATGATTTTTCAACCAGTTGCATGCATTTGGGAAGGGTTTGACTTGAAATTTTAGGTTGGTAGTGTTGCTATGCCAACTTTCTGAATGAGACGCTGAACCATTTAAAACAAGGGTGTTAAACCTGTAGGTCTTGTAAAGGGGTGGGAGGGGAAAATGAGGGTGGGCCTCAGGGTTTTAGCCTTATGCTAAATAGACAACCTTATCTTAGTGTGGAGTAAGGCTGTTCAGAGGCAAAAGTCAGACTTTCCCACTTACAATAACTAACAGCCATGGCAGTGATGGTCAAATGGTGATAGTCGGTATTCGGTGGCATAGCACCATTGACTTCAGCAGAGCAACTCAAATTTATAGCCTCAGAAGATCTGGCTGGAGTTCTTTAGACAGTTTTAAAAGTACAGTGTTGAAAGGAAAACTTCTTAGTGCAAAGATTCACTAATCCCTTATCAAAAAGCACTTCAGTAGCAAGTGCTGCAGATAAGGCACCAGCTTGCTATCTGAATCAGACACGCAACTGGGAATGCCAAGAAGGATGGAGAGTTACCCCCGTACCTTTATAATTAAAGTGATACTGCTTTGATCTGGGATTAATATTTGGAAGCAATCTTTGGAACGTGGTAATTCAGTAACCTAGGGACGTATTTTCGAATACACACCTTTAGGTTTCTGATTGCTATATAATAGAGGAATTTTCTTTGTCAAAGAGCAATGCATATCTATCTCATAAAGACACGCGACGTAGTTTGACCTTGAAGGAATTAATCTCTTCTGAGGCTTTTGAGGAGACCTGATTATAATGAGAGTTTTCTGATCATGTACTTGAGGCAAACTTCTTCCATCAGTGCATAGAGTAAAAGGGTCCTGGGAAGGATCTTCTGGGTGACACACAAATTCTAAACCTGGACTGTATTGCAGATACTCTAGAAACCCCTTGAACTGTGTAAGGGGTCAAGATCTGGGGGATGACCCCTGGCATGGGTGTATATATATAGTATAGGGGTGGGACTTCCGGTCCCAAGTTGGCAACCAGGGGATGGGACACCTGTCAAAGGGCTACCCTTGTGGCCCTCGACAGCTCACCAAAGCTCGTTAATGGCTCTCCAGCCAAAATAATTGCCTGCCCCTGATATATACCCTGAAGTCCAGGGCTACTGAGGTTATTGGTTCTATAGTGACCAATTGTGGGTTAAGAAGAGGGGCTGAAATTACTGGGTCTGCTACACTGGATCCAATATCCTTCCTAGATCTGGGAAGTTGCAGGAGATATAACGGCCTCACTACTACTGTAGAAATTGTAGGAGACCTGGAATTAAGATTTCTTCCTTTTCCACCCAAAAAAACCTTTCCAAACAACTCATGCTAAACATGGGCAGGAGTTACTCCATACTGTCCATTTAGTCTTGTAAGTAAATGGGTGGAATTTGTAATTACATAAATACTATACAGCAAGGTGAAACAAGCCTTCTTAAAAACATGACATGGAAAACCTCCAGAGTCAATCACCTTTTGCTTTATCTTTCACCACTGTAGATGCTGCAGCTTGAAAGCTTGCTATGACTTTACCTTTGAAAATAATTAATAGTCCTGCACGGTTTTAAGTTCCT